CCTTTTATTACGAAATCTGGAGTAGGCATCCTCGAAGGGGTCGGAGCAGAGGGGGTCGGAGGATCGCACCGCATCGCCGATGCATCGGCGAGGCGGCTCGACGTGGGGCCCAGCTTTCTCCACGCCGACATCGCCGATGCATCGCCGACGTCGCCAGTACATGGCCGATGCATTCGCGATGCATCGCCGATGTGTCGGCGATGCGGCGAGATCCTCGGACCTCATCTACTCGGACCCCATCTAGGAGGCCTCTAGAAGTGAGAGGGGGAAGGCCTTCTCAGAAGGCGGCTGGACTTCTCGGAAGCCCCTCGCGCCTTCTGAGAAGTTCTGGTTTGTCTTCGGGGAAGGCTCAGAAAACTTATCGGAGGGCCTGGGGACTGCCGAGCCTTCTGAGAGGGCCTTCTCCTTCCCACTTCCCCCCGTCGCTCGCCGCCGACTGGGGGCGGCTGCAGCCGCGAGAAAGGACCGGGTCGAGCTACGCAGGAGCATGCCCTGAGATCCGGGCGCCGCTGCCTTTTCTTGCGCACCAAATGTTTTCGGGCCCTGGGGCCATCACAGGTCAGTCCAGCTCGCAGACTGCATCCGAAACATCGATGGCCTGGGGCTCGGGTCGTGCCTTTTTCGCTGTGTTGCAGCTTTTTCCGCAGCGTCGGATCTCAAGGGTAGAACGGAGAAAGGCCCGATGCCAAGGGAGGAGCAAGGGTTAGGTCGGGCATGTCCCCCTGCAGGCGGATCTTGGAGGAAAAATAAAAACATAGTCAACTAATCTTCAAACATTGTCGAGAATCATCGATCGTCCCCATACTATGCTTGGACAATGTTTGAATTTCCTCCTCTGGAGGAACAGGCCCGACTTATGAAGGGAGAAAGAAAGGCGGCAAAGTTTGCCGGATGAGGGGTCGCTCCTGCAGCGGCGGCGCGGTCGGAGGACCAAAAAAAACTGCACAAGCATTGACCCGCCGAGCCCAGCGGCGTGTGAGATTCAACCGTGAGCGTCTTGACTGTATGCTTGCGCCGTTTTTCCAAGTGATGACGTCCATACCTCGGAACAAATAGCGAACTCTCATGCCACATTCATCCGTCAACGCCTCCACCTCCCCCCAATGTTCAGAGTTGGCGGCAGTGGGTCTGATGAGCTGCACCTCGACCGCAGTCTCCCCCGCGCGTGCCAACTTTGAGTTTGGGGGAAAGCGGGAGTGTTCAGTAATTGTTTCCCTCTACCGTCCGAACCCTACCCCCACCAACCATCGATTTTCCTGAAGCGATGGGAGGCGGGGATAGGACTCGGATTTCGCCGCGTGTTCGGCGCATTCCGCACCCTACCCCCGCCGCCCATCGAGTTGCCTGAATCTTCGATCGGCGAGGGTAGGGTTCGGATTTCGTTGCCGATCCACCCGCCGTGTGCTTCGGGTCATAACTCGGCTCCCTTGCTGCCGTTCGGGACGATCCGGGCACCCCCAGAACGCCCGCGGCGAGGCGCAGCCGCTGAAGCGCCCCCCCGAGGCTGGAAAGCCGCCGAGGGCCCCCGAGCAAAAACACCCTGAAAGCCCGAAACCTCGAACCTCGACGCTGCCGACGTTAGGATCTCGCCGACGATGTGCCCCTCCCTCCTCCCAGCGACGGCGCGCCGCTCCGCAGACCCACGGACGTCGTGATTTTTGTCACAGCGTCGACCCCCAGAAAGGTCTGGGCCACTCCCCTGGGACCGGTTTTTCGTCCCCGATCGCTCTCCGAACGGCCCCAAGGCTCGGCGAGGGCCCCCGGAGGCCGAGAATGGCGAGGAGCCTCCCTCGTGATCCTTTTCACAGCGCGAGGGGGCCTGAGGGGAGGAGGAGGCGGAGGAGGCGGAGGAGGAACGCGAGGAGGAGGAGGAGGAGGAGGAGGAGGACGAGGAGCGCGAGGAGGAGCAGGAGGAGGACGGGGAGCAGGAGGAGGAGGAGGAGGAGGAGGAGGAGGAGGATGAGGAGGAGGCGGAGGCGGAGGAAGCGGAGGCGGAGGAGGCGGAGGCGGAGAAGCGGAGGCGGAGGAGGAGGCGGAGGCGGAGGAGGATGAGGAGGAGGAGGAGGAGGAGGAGGAGGAGCAGGAGGAGGACGACGACGCACGCCTCTGGAGCACAGTTCGATGTCTGGGCAGACTAGACGCTCTAGGACCGGCTTACAACCGAAGATTTCGTGCACGCGCACGCCCTATGAGGATCCACAACTTGTCAATAGTTGCATCCGACCCTCAGGCAAACCTGTCAAGCTACAAACGTGGAGTAGCCCCCTCCGCGCAAACAAAAATTGAAACGGATACGCCGGGAACCATCAATCACTGCGCGGGGCCCCCAAACCCCGGAGATGGTATTACCTCCTACCCTGAAGCAATCCAAGCATGCTTCTGATCGTGGTGCTGTCCCACCCGGCGGCTCGCATTGAAGCAGCCGCATCACGGGAAGCAGAGTGAGGATCGTCGGAGGGGGGAGGCATGTTGGCAGACCGGCCCCTAGACCCGCCCCGCTCACTCGCCCTCCGGTTCCGGGTGCTGGGACGCTCTGGAATCAGCACTCCTCCCATTTGCACAGGCCTGTGTGGATGATCCGCTCGAGGTGGTGCATAGGCGCCACTCCATCCTTCCGCTGGGCGCCGAGCTGCTCCAAGCAGCTGCTGATGATATGGGTTTCCTTGCTCACGCACATCTGAATTTTGGCATCCGTTTACTTGTGTGCGTTGGACACCTTGACCAGGGCGAAGGTTTTTCCGGCTGCGTCTATGCTCATCTGGTCCATGTGGCCCTTGAGCTCCTGCAGGTTCTTGAGGTTCGCTCTCCCCACGCCCTCCCCCTCTGCCAGGAGACCCTCGACCAGGCCCACAACCGCCGCGCACGATATCGTGCCGAACTGAGCGAGATCGCCCTCTTGTTCGGAGGAGGAGGAGGAGGAGGAGAAAGAGGAGGAGGAGGAGGCGGAGGAGGAGGCGGAGGTGGAGGAGGCGGAGGAGGCGGAGGAGGAGGCGCAGGAGCGCGAGGGGGTCTGGGCCCGCGCCGCCGCCTCGGACTCCGCGCCCCCCCTTCTGCCTGCCGCGCGGGGGCGGCGCCGAGAGGCGCCCGGGGGCGAGGCGCGCTCTTTGGTCGCGGCCCGAGGCCTCCGACGGCGCGGGCCATCGCGCACAGAGCGGCGATCAAAAATCGATCACCACGAGTTGGGAGAAGGATGTGGCAAGATCTCGTTCGGAGAAGGAAAAACAAAACAACTGAATTGTTTCGTTTTTTTTTTCCCCCGCCGAATTTCCCGTGGCGAGTTATCCTGGCAAAGCAACCTAACTGCGATGTGTATAAGCATATCTGGAAGCATTCCCCTTAAGATTCAGGTGAGAATCCAGTTGTAGAATTCTGCTGTTCTCGCAGTCGCAGCCTCAGCCTGCCTCGGCTTGCCTCGGCCTCAGCCTCAGCCTGCCTCGGCCTCAGCCTCAGCCTCAGCCTGCCTCAGCCTCAGCCTCAGCCTGCTCAGCCTCAGCCTCAGCCTCAGCCTCAGCCTCAGCCTCAGCCTGCATCAGCCTCAGCCTCAGCCTCAGCCTGCCTCAGCTCAGCCTCAGCCTCAGCCAGCCTCAGCCTCAGCCTGCTTCAGCCTCAGCCTCAGTCTGCCTTCAGCCTCGGCCTCAGCCTCAGCCTGCCTCAGCCTCAGCCTGCATCAGCCTCAGCCTCAGCCTCAGCCTGCCTCAGCATCAGCCTGCCTCAGCCTCAGCCTCAGCCTGCCTCAGCCTCAGCCTCAGCCTGCTCAGCCTCAGCCTCAGCTGCCTCAGCCTGCCTCAGCCTCAGCCTTCAGCCTCTCAGCCTGCATCAGCCTCAGCCTCAGCCTCAGCCTCAGCCTGCCTCAGCCTCAGCCTGCCTCAGCCTCAGCCTGCCTCAGCCTCAGCCTCACAGGTGGCTCCGGGCAATCAAAATATGATACAGGAATGGTGTTCTGGGAACACGAAGAACACGAAGTATTCAAAATGTTGCCTGGGAATGGTGTTCTGGGAACACGAAGAACACGAAGAACACGAAGTGGCCTACAGTTGCCTCCGGGCATTCAAAATGTGGCCTGGGAATGGTGTTCTGGGAACACGAAGAACACGAAGTGGCCTACAGTTGGCTCTGGGCATTCAAAATGTGGCCTGGGAATGGTGTTCTGGGAACACGAAGAACACGAAGTGGCCTACAGTTGCCTCCGGGCGTTCAAAATGTGGCCTGAGAATGGTGCTCTGGGAACACGAAGAACACGAAGTGGCCTATAGTTGGCTCCGGGCATTCAAAATGTGGCCTGGGAATGGTGTTCTGGGAATGGATTTGCAAGGATTCCTAAGAATTCCTAAGGATTCCTGGGGCTGCCGGTTTGTCCGGTTTTGTCCGGATCCCGCCCAGACCCCCCTGGGGCGTCAAGATGCTCTCTTTTGACACTACTAGAAACCTATCAGTCTTCGCTGTTAGGTAAAAACCGTCTCCGCCCATGTGTGGTAAGCGGGGAAGGGCGAAATGCACGAGCACACTCCGAGCGGCGATCAAAAATCGACAATACTCAAGAGTGGCCCCGGGACGCACAGAAAGATGTTAATACGATAGGTCCTCCCTGGAGGCGCGCGTCCGACTCGAAGATGTGGTATACCCATCTTGCAATATATATATATATATATATATATATATATATATTCCCGAGAGGTGTGGCCAGACAGCGCCCGCCACGACGCACATACTATAAGACTTTTCGTTACGCGCGTCGCCCCTGGGGGGGGGACGCACATATAGTATCAGTATGTTGGAGTGGCGCCGAGGCAAGAGCGCAAGGTGGCCAAATCCAAGCGCGCAAGCAGCCACTATCGCATCGCGCTCAGCGGTCGGGGGTTCCAGCGAAGGGCCACTCTCACGTGCAGTCGAAAAAACGGGTCTCACGCGAGATGGCATGGCGACCCAACGCCGCGGCTTACGCGGGCCGCCAGCGCGGCACGCTGCTGCACGCTTCGAGCGACGATCAACAACGGGTCTTACGCGAGATGGCATGGCGACCCTCTGCGGTGGCTTACGCGGGCCGCCAGCGCGGCACGCTGCTGCGCACTTGAGTGACGATCAACAACGGGTCTTACACGAGATGGCATGGCGACCTTACGCGGTGGCTTACGCGGGCCGCCAGTGCGGCACGGTGCTGGGAGAAGAGGGGGCCCACTCGCGACCTTACGCGGGCGCGAATGTCGGTGCAAACGGCCCTGTCTTGCGTCGCTGAGGTGGCGACACCCGACCACTATCCCCACCAACCATCGACTCCCCTGAGGCGATGGGAGGCGGAGGCGGGGTTCGGATTCCGTTCAGTGCCCGACGAGCTCGGAACCCTGCCCTCGCTCCGAGCTCTGAACCCTGCCCTCGCTGCCCATCGAGCTGCCTGCATCGTTGACCGACGAGGGCAGGGTTCGGACCTCGCCGCCGACGCGAGCGACGAAAAGAAGCGGGGCTCACTCCTCCTCCTCCTCCTCCTCCTCCTCCTCCTCCTCCTCTTCCTCCTCCTCCTCCTCCTCCTCCTCCTCCTCCTCCTCCTCCTCGATGGCACAGCGACCCTGCGCGGTGGCGCACGAGGGCCGCCAGCACGGCGCACCGCGTGGCGAAGGGGGCGCTCACGATATGGCACCGACACTGCAGACGTGCTGCGGCGGATTTGTGCGTCCCTCCTCCCTCCTCCCTCCTCCCTCCTCCCTCGCGGACTTCTGTCACTGCAAACCCCCGAACTGGCGAGCGAAAGACGACGTGAATGTCACGTGGATTTGTTGCAGTCTTCCTTCCATGCCCCCCCCCAAAAGAAAATCCGCGCGGAACTCGCTCCGAAATCGGAAACGACGACACTCTCCAGGAGAAGCCAGGCCCCCCCCCCTTGTTTTCCGCGCGAAGTCCGCTCTGCGATCTTGGCGCCATGACACGCGCGGCATTCCGCGGGAAGCGTACCCAGACATGCGACGTCCTGGCTTTTTCGGTATGGCGTCCCTGGAAGTCCCGACCCTTTCCCTGGGACCAGCTTCTCATCCCGAGTCGCTCCTTGACGGCCCCGAGGCCCAGCGAGGGCCCCCCGAGGCCGAAAACGGCCAAAAACCTCCGGTCCTGATTTGTGTTTGTGTTCGACGCGAGCACGTCTGGGTGCGCGCCAGCGTGGGCGAAGTCGACCCCCGTTGCCTCCCGCCGCTCCCCCGGCGGCCGCCCCAGACCGGTGGGGCGCGAGGGGGGAGCGGCCCTCGGAGAGGGCAGACGGAGCCTCTTTACACGAGGCAGCGGGCCCTCCTGGAGGGCCCCCCGAGGCCTCGTGAGCCGCCAACGAGGCCCGCTGCCTTTCTTATTATTCTTCGTCTTATGCTTGTTATTATTATTGCGTGTCTTCTTCGTCTTCTTCTTATTATTCGTAGTAACTGTTATTCTTCGTATGTCTACTAGTCGCACGACGATTCTCACCATAGCTATTGTTATTGTTCTCTTATGAATATCGTTCTGGTGACCCTTAATAGTTGTCTTTCTTCTTGTTCTGGGGAACGGGGGAGCCAGCATCCCACCGAATGCTTCCAGAGGCCGCGGCCTTACCAACCTCAGAACGCGGCTACCCTCTATAAAGAGCCCTGAGGTCCGACGCAGCGAAAGGAAAATGCAGCATCGTATACAATCACACCCGGAGCCCGTCAGACCCCATCTTTCTGCGTCATACTTGAACAAAGGGATAAATCCAGAGACCAACAAAAGGGTTACGAATGCAGTCGGATTTGGCGGTGGGAGAGATGAGCAGAACGCTGGAAATGAGGAGGAGGAGCAGGAGGATTCAGGATGCACGCACGAGCGGGAACGTGCGAGAAAAACACGGGCATTTTTCGAGCTGGATCGATCTGTGCGGGGCCAAGGGCCAGAAGAACGCCCAGATCATCCCATACCGATGTTTCCCGGAAGCGTTTCACAAAATCCGGTCGCGACCGAGCTACCGAGCATGAGCGATCAAAACCCGTATGGAGCGAATTGCATGCACGATCGAAATTGCCCTTGAAAGCCGGTAGCACCCTACCGAATTTGAGCGCGTCGTCGCTACCGAAGTTCGTTTCGTCGTTACCGAATTACGTGACCGTCGTTACCGAATTTCGTGATCGCCGTTGCTGGATTTCGACGAGTGCGGATATCGCTGGCAGCGGTAATTGCGCAGATTCTCGCAATACCGATCTTCGCGTTACCGATTCTCTTGCGCCGAAAATCGACTTCCCACAACCGAATTTCGTTCCCCCGCTGCCGATTTGCGCGTCGGATTCGCTACCGAATTTCGTTTCCCCACTACCGAATTTCACCACAACTTAGCACGTATTCGCAATTGTCTCCGACGCGACCGAAAAATCCGGCATCTGGTCGCGACCGAAAATCGACAAGCGCCCAAATCGCCACCGAAAATGAGGCAGAGGGATCTGGCAGAGGGAAACAACTGCTGAACCCTACCCCTCCCCCCAAAGAATTCCAAGCTGGCACGCGCGGGGGAGACTGCGGTCGAGGTGCAGCTCATCAGACCCACCGCCAACTTTGAACATTGGGGGGAGGAGGTCGGGAGCGGCCAAGAGGGGGGTGTGCAAGAGGGGGGGTGCAAATCATGACCGTCGGCATGTGCGCGGACCAGCGGGGGGGCCAGGGACGTAATGAAATAAGAAGAGGCGCCATGAGATCTGGGGAAATATCATGGCCCACGCCATGATATCCACCCCCCCCTAGTCATCACCCCTCTCCTTGCCGCCCCCGAGGAGGGGGAGGCGTTGACGTGCTCGCTCTTGCTCCGAGGCCCGTCGGAGAGGCGACAGCGCCCGGCTCGAAAACACACGGGGGCGCCAGCACCTCAGGGTTCCGCCCCTAGATCCGCCTGCTGATAAGGCCGCCGCCCTCGCTGCCCTGGTCAAGACGATGTTGTCGTCGACGACGACGACGACGACGACGACGACGACGACGACGACGACGACGATGGGCTTCTCATGACCCGCGTCAGCGCAAACCTGGGTCGGTCAGGCTCTGCGGGATCCTGCAAGAGCCTGCAGGATCCTGCGCCCGAGCCCGGGCCAATACACCCCTGGGCTCTGCAGGCTCCTGCAGCCCCGAGCCCCGACGCAGCGAAAACATAGGCCGCATCGCTGGGAGTCGCACCAGGGATGGCCCACGGGCCAGGGGCAGCGGCCGTGCACCCAGACGTGCGACGTCCTGCCTTTTTTCCACCTGGGGTCCCTGGAAGTCCCCACCCCTCCCCCGGGACCGGGTTCTCATCCCGAGTCGTTTCTTGACGGCCCCGAGGCCCGGCGAGGGCTCCCGGGGGCCGAAGAGGGCCAAGAACCTCCCGTCCTGACCATTTGACCGTGAGATCCGACGTTGCAGAACAATACTGCAACATCGCAGAAAGTCACGACCGGAGCCCTGGGACATACCTGGCCTTAGGTCTGGCATGTCCCCCTAGAGGCCGATCTGGGACGAACAGATAAGCATAGTCGACAATGTGCAAAGATGTCTGAAAATAGTCGAAACATCGCTCCCAGACTATTTTCTGACTATGTTTGAATCTTGCTCCTGTAGAGGGACGTGGCCGACTTCATCCTAGCGTGCCTCCGGGGCCGCCGCCGCCGCACGCCTGGGGGGCAACGATACAGTCGGGGCGTTGACCTAAGGAACCCTAAATAAGGAACGAGGCCCCTTTTTTCCATAAGTTAAACTTCGATTTTCGATCGAAAACATAAGGACAACCTGAGGCAAGCTGCGAAACACTTAAGGAACGCGGAGCCCCTCTCCAATCAAAAGGGTTCCTTCTCCAGGGCCCCGACTGTAGGGGGGGATCGGCACAGAGGGGGGATGCATCGACCTGGCATCGGCGACACATCGCGCCGAGGGGTCGGCGACAGGCCGCCCATCGCGCCTCCGCAGCTCCCTATGGGCGGGGTGGGGCTCTCGGGCCCCATATCGGCGATCAGTGGGCGATTGTGGAGTCGATGCCTCCCCCCGGCCGCTGCCCCCGGCACGCCGCGCAGAAGGTGCTGCGCCAGCGGCGCCGCCCCGAAGCGGGGGGGGGGGGGGCTCCCGGGGGAGAGCGAGGGCGGCGGCCGCAGGCGGGTCCCTGAGGAATCCTGGCGTCTCCGCTGTTTTCTTTCGAGCGGGGCGTTTCCTCGTCCTCCTCCTCCTCCTCCTCCTCCGCCTCCTCGTCCTCCTCCTCCTCTTCCTCCTCCTCCTCCTCCTCCTCCTCCTCCTCCTCCTCCTCCTCCTCATCCTCCTCCTTCTCCTCCGAGGACGACCATGAGGAGTCCTGGCGTCTCCATTTGTTTGTTTTTCGAGCGGGGCGTCTTCGCCTTTTTGTTCGGGCCTCCGAGGTAACTCTGGCTTGGGCCCGCGAGGCACACATCTGCAGTTACCCCTGACCACCCCCAGTCCTGATGACTCTTTCGGGGCTGTGATGGTAGGGGCGCAGGGGTGGGGTTAAAGTTAGGTCGGGCATGTCCTCATGCAGGGGAGATTTAGGAGGAAATGCTAAACAATTGTTGTAAAAAAGGAGCTCCAATCATGCAGGGGGGATTTTGGAGGAAATGTGAAACAATCGTTGTAAAACAAGAGCTCCACATGGCCAAGAAAAGTCCAAAAATCGTCCACTGACGATTTTTTGTTATTTTTGGCTACTCCAGATTTCGTAATAAAAGGAGGGGGGTCTCACTTCGGGGGGGGTCTCTTCCAGGCTATCTTGGAGGGCCTGGGGGGGTCTGGGGACGATGTTCTGGAGGGTTCTCCCACGGGGGGGGGGTCTGAAATGGCTTGTCTTGGAGGGTCCAGACCCCCTCCCTTTTATTACGAAATCTGGAGTATTCCTCCTGCAGAGGGACAAGCCCGACGTAAGGTCAGAGAAACGTCGCTCCAAGCGGCCCGCGGAAGGCAATGCGAGCGCCCGCCCCGGGCATACCCGCGACGCGGACCTGCTCCCAGGGGAGAGGGTCGACCTGAACGGTGCCTTTTCGCTGTCGTCCTGCTTCCGCTGTCCCTCGCCTCGTCTTCAGCCCTCCTTCTTTGAATGGGGCCCCAGGACACACAAATAAATACACACAAATAAAAAGATTCCCCATATTTTCTGGGTTTCTGTCTTCCCCCCACTTCCCATATTTTCCCACATTTCTGGGGAATCGAGGATTAATTGTGTCTGTGTGTTTCTTTTCCTCTTGATTCTTGCGCTGCAGAGCGAGCTCGAAACGAAAGCGGCCCACGACGTCGCAGAAACCCCGGCGAGGTCGACCCCTGTCCCGAAGGGAGGGATCCGGAGCGTGGGGCCGCGGGTCTGAAACAGTTCATATACCGGAGGCCGTCTGGGGACGACCCTGATCTCCGGCGATATGACTTGTTAGAGGCCTCCTAGATGGGGTCCGAGTAGATGGGGTCGGAGGATGGCGCCGCATCGACGATGCATCGGCGATGCATCGGCGATGCACCAGCGATGCATCGTCGACGTCAGCGATGAATCGGCGATGCGGCGCGCTCCTTCGACCCCATCTACTCCGGCCCCATCTAGGAGGCCTAGACTTGCACAATCGGGGCGTCTTCCCTGGATCTCGGCCTCCGGGGACCACTCTCGGGCCCCAGCAGAGAAGGATTCGGGACGCAAGAATACCCCCAGGGAAGGGGTCGGGAGATGCGGGGCCGCGGACTCGCAAAATCATGCCGGGAGCCGTCCGGGGGCCCCCCACCCGGTCTGGCGCGCGGAGCGCGCCAGGGGCGGCGCTGGAGGCGCAGCCAGGGGGGTCAAAGCGCCGATCGGAAAAATCAGCGCGGACCTCCGACAGTTTTACGTTCGTGCAGTTCTTTCGACTTCGAGGCAAGGGGATCACAGCGCGAGTGCGCGGGGCGGGGGGGGCCAGGAGGAGCTGCAGAGGCGTACGGGCGGAGGTCAGGGGCGAGAGAGACGGTGGGGACGCCACCGCCTGCGCCGCGCCAAAAAGCGCTCGGCGCTGCCCTGGGAGTCGGCAGGTGGTCGCCATCGGGCCGTCTATCCCCTCAGCTCCCAATCTGAAGCACAAGATCTTCCAGCTCGTCCACCTCCTTGGTGTCGCTGCCAGGGTCCCCCAGCTCGCTGCAACACTCGTCATGGCACTGTGTGCCATCGCTGGGCCCCTCGCAAGCCGCGGGCGTCGCCCAGGCGCACATGCACTGCTCCTTGGGGCTGGCGTCTTCCTCGCCACTGTCCTCACCACCACCGCCGCCACCACCGGCGTCCTCCTCATCACCGCCGCCCCCGACCTGTGCACAGCACTTTTGCCAGCAGCAGCTGTTGTCCACGGAGCTTGCGTCGCACGCGCCTGGCGTGTCGGCCCACTTGCACTGGCATTTGCACTCTCCCCCCTCCCCGGGCGGAGGCGGAGTGGTGTGCGCGCCCTCTCCGACCCCATTCGGGCCCTCCGCCGGCATGCCGTCGGCATTGCCGATCTCCAGGACCGCGCTGATGGCGTCGTGGTCGCTACCACCGTCTCCTAAATTAACCGTGCCGATCACAGACGACGGGGGGGTGTTACTCAGTATGTTGTCAATACCGCCACACATCGCCCCGTTGAAAATATGAACCAAATACTGCGACAGCTCGCTGATTGTATCTGAAGCTGGAGCTGCGTTGAAGTCGCCGACCACAATGATTGCGTCACCTTCTTTTGCGTTGGCCACTATGACTCGAATCAAGTTGGAAGCAGTGACCTTTCCGCCGCACTCGCCGCCGGTGTCCACCGGGAGCGGGCCGTGGTGGTTCATGAAGAACAAAAACTTGCCCGTGCCCGTGTGTTTCAGCCGCACCCACTGCGCAGCCCGCGCGCCGTAGAGGCCGGGCTGATCCTCGGCTACGTCCTCCATGCCCTGTGCAACCATGTCCCACCTCTCCTTCAGCCAGGCCACGCAGATGGCGTGCTCCCCCTGCGCAGCCGAGAACCGCGTGGACATGTCAGCGTCCCGCAGGACCCTGTCGACGTCCTCGCACTCCTGGAAGCCCATGACGTCGAACGCCCTGTCATGGGCGGCCTCTTTCATTAACTTCCCTGCGCTGCCGTCGTTGCCATTGCGGAGCTGGAAGAGATTCCACCAGAACAAATTGTACGACAACACCTTGACCTGGATAGACTGCGCGACCGGCGCTGAATCCCACAAACTCTTCGGGAGCGGCCCGGTCAGCCCAGAGCAGCCGGCAGTGTCTGGGTCGACGGGCCCGGCGGGCTCTGGGGCCTCGGCCTCGCACGTGGGCGTGTCCCTATTCTTGCAGCACCAATCCTTCTTCGCTCCAGACCAGCCCGCCTCCCAGTTGGAGAAGCCGGCGTCGCAGTCGAAGGGTTCCGACGGCGCCGCTGTCGCCGCTGGCTCCGTCGGGACGTTGGGGGACGCCGGCGCTGGCAGAGGGGCGGCCACGCCTGCGGGGGGAGGCGGCTTCGACGGCGGCGGGGCTGGCGGCGGGGCGGCCACGCCTGGCAGGGGCGCCGCCGCCGCCGCCGGCGCCGCCGCCGGCGCCACCGCCGCGGGCGGCGCCGCCGCGGGCGGCGGCGCTGCGGCCGGCTTCGGCGGCGGAGGGGCCGCCGCCGCCGGCGCCGCCGCCGCCGCCGCGCCGCCGCCGGCGCCACCGCCGCGGGCGGCGGCGCTGCAGCCGGCTTCGGCGGCGGCTGGGCGGCCACGCTTGCGATGGGCGCCGCCGCCGCCGGCGCCACCGCTGCGGGCGGCTGCGCTGCGGCCGGCTTCGGCGGCGGCGGGGCTGCCACGCTTGCCGTGGGCGGCGCCGCCGCCAGCGCCGCCGCCGCGGGCGGCGGGTACGGCGCGGCGAGGGCGGCGGACGGCGGCAGCTCCTGCTTGAGCTGTGGTCGCACGACCCCGGCGCCGAGGGCGCTGACAGCGGACCGCCCGCCGCCTCGGGGCCACCTGCGCTGCAGCGCGGCGCAGGCCGCCATGGCGAGGATCGCGGCGGCCGCCGCACGCGCAGCAAGGGCCGGCGAGCTTCCGCAGCACCGCCTGCCTCCGCGCCTGGGGATGTCTCGGAGGCTCTCGTAGCCGCCAGAGCCAGCCATCGCGAAGGTCATGGATGCCTCGGCGTGCTCGCCCCTCCCAAGGGTCTTCGAGGCAGCGGCGAACCGGCGCGCGGCAGCGCAGCTCGGCTCGCTGGGAGGCTCGGGCCTTGGCCTCGAGCAAAAAGGCTACCGCGAGTGCGTGGGCGATCTTCGCAGAAGCAGCTCTCCGCGTGGTCGGGCGCGACGTGGGATCCCGCCAGCCCTCTCGGGGCAGGCGGTGTAGATAGTTGGTTCCTCCAACCTCCTTTTTCCCCTTCGGCGACGGGTTTGCCCCTATCCCTACCCTTTAAAGCCTGTGTTGATCGGATGAGGCTGCCAATGTGGTGCGGTGGGAGCCCCTGGCCGCTCGCGGGGGGGTCGCGCGTCGAAAATCATGTCGGGCGTAGCCCGAACTTATTTTTTTGCGAAGTAAGCTGGGGTGAGCTGAACCGAACAGACTGGTCGCGCCCGCTACGCGACGGTTTCTTGGCCGCCAAGGGCGCAAACTATGGCGCAACCGATAGGAGTCGGTTGTACTTTCGGCCGTCGAGGGCGCAACCTACTCGCCATCGCTCGGACGTCCATTCCCTGTGTATGTTTCGGTTTCGTGCGTGGTTCTTTCGCCAAATCATCAAGGATGCTCCTCGATGGTCCTCGCCGAAGGAGACATGCACACGTCCGAGCGATGCCAATAGCCTGCGGCGCGGCCGGGTGGGGGACGGTGCTGCTCTCGGCCGCGGAAGGCCTATAACCTATACGGCGCAACCGATCGGAGACGGTTCCACTCTCGGCCGCCGAGGGCGCAGCCGATGGCGCAACGGATCGGAGACGGTTAGACTGTCAGCCGCCGAGGGCGCAACCTACCTCGCAACCGATACGAGACTGTTCTATTCTCGGCCGCCGAGGGCGCAGCCGATGGCGCAACGGATAGGAGACAGCTCTATCCCCGGCCGCCGAGGGCGCAACCTGTGGCGCAACGGATAGGACGGTGGTATTCTCGGCCGCCGAGGGCGCAACCGATAGGAGACGGGTCTATTCCCAGCCGGCAAGGGCGCAACCTATGGCGCAGCCGAAAAGAGACTGTTATATTCTCGGCCGCCTAGGGCGAAACCTATGGCGCAATCCAGGGCGCAACCCATGGCCTCTGTCGCCGACCCCTGCGAAACAACTATGAGGGTCATGCATCGCACCGCATACGCAGAGCATCCACGACATGATGTATTTTCCATCAGCATGCAGCTGCACCCTTTCAGATTTCAGCGCTTGGCGTCATTGGTGGCAGCTGCCACCGCCGATCTCTCGACTCGAGACTATCTGTGCGAATTGGACCCGGGACAAAATTCACGCGCTCCGCATAGTTCTCGCGTCCGCGTCACGTCGACAAACCTCTGACAGGAGAAGGAGGATGAGCAGGAGGAGGAAGAGCAGACACGAGGACGAGGTCCTAGACGATGACGACGAGGAGCTGGAGCAGGAGCAGAGCAGAGAGCAGAGCGCCGGAAAACGTCCCGGAAGGACGACGAGGAAGACGAGGAGGAAGACGAGGAAGACGAGGAGGAGGGCGAGGAGGAGAACGACGACGAGGATCAGGATGGGGAGGAGGACGGGGAACAAAATACGAGTAGTACGAGGGCGAGGTGTGGGCATTCGAATGCGTGCGGGGCTACGCCCCATTTATGCTCTGGATCCTCGAATTGGAGGGAAGGGGGGACCTCTTGCTAGGGCTCCCAACTTCGCGCTTCGCGCTGCGCGAAGCGCGAATAACTTCGCGCTCTCGCGCCGCCCTCCCAGAGGGAGAATAGGAGGACGAGGAGGAGGGGGAGAAGGAACGAGGACCGCGAAGCGCGAATAACTTCGCGCCCTCGAGGGAGCCCTTGTCTTGGGACTCTTTTGACAATCTGTTGGGCCCTCTTTGGGGGAGAGCCCTTCTTGGAGCCTGAGGGACCCTTATGGGGCCGCATTGCGACCAACGTGGCATCAGGCACAAGTGGTCTTGTTGGCCTTTTCGCGATCTAGCGCTCTCCTCCTGGAGCCAGCCCACTTGGGGCCCTTCGGGTTCTTCATAAGGGGGCATCCAGGCTTGTTTGGGGCCCGTCCTGGGCCCTTCTGGAGCCTCTCTTGGGCGGCATCGCAGCCAGATTGACGCTTAGAGAGCCGAGCAGGACCCCGACAGTGATCAATGCCAACGCCATGGAAACCCTGCTGGGTGACTTCAGCATCACGGGGGCAGTCCCCGGGAGGCCCCGTGGCGCCACCTCGAGGGGGCTGCCTCGTGGCGGTCTGGAGGCCTCTTGGAGGCCCAGTTGAGTGAAGGGGCCCTGGGACACACAAATAAATATACACAAATAGCAGGATTCCCCATATTTCTCCATATTTTCTTGGTTTTTGTCATCCCCCCCACTTTCCATATTTTCGCATATTTTCTGGGGAATCAACGATTAATTGTCTGTGTGTTTTTTTCTCTCCTGATTGAGGCCATCTTATGCCATCTTGAGCCATCGTGTGCGATCTTGGAGGCTGTCTTGGAGACCGCCTCGCCCTGTCCTCCGCTGCAGAAGCCAAGATCGTAGCGTGCGGTTGGAGGGGCCAACCAGTCATATTAGGGGGAGTCCCTCCCCTGGAGTCTGGACGGGAGGCCGCGAGGTGTCCGAGGGTCCGCTTTGGACTGAGATGGCGCCACGATTGCCCCAGGTAGCCCAAGACGGCTTCCAACATGGCCACAATATGGCCGGAGATGGCTCAACATAGCCATCAGCATGCCTGCAAGATGCCCCTAGACAGCTCAGAGTGGCAAAGGAGCCTCTCAAGGATGAGTCCGAGGGACCACAATCTTTCAACCGACAAAGAAATCCACTGATTTGACCTTCTCGCCCTTCCGCTTCCAGTGGATGTCTGGGGCACGCCCCGCGAGCGTACCGAGGGGGCCCCAAGAGGCACTGTTCGGGCACCGACGGGGGGAGAGCGAGATTGGAACCTGCCCATTTTTGCACGCCCGCGCCGTGATGTGAGGAGGAGGAGGAGGAGGAAGAGGAGGAGGAGGAGGAGGAGGAGGAGGAGAAGGAGGAGGAGGAGGAGGGGAGGAGGAGGAGGAGGAGGAGGAGGAGGAGGAGGAGGAGGAGGGAGGAGGGAGGAGGAGGAGGAGGAGGAGGATCGACGTCCTCCAAGACGGCCCCAAGAGACACCCCCGGGAGAGCCCCAAGCCGCCCCCATGACTCGAAAAGGAGCCCGGAAGACACACAGACGCCCCCGAGGTGCCCAGGCTTTGCAGACATCTGCCTCCTCCTCCTCCTCCTCCTCCTCCTCCTCCTCCTCCTCCTCCCCCCCCCCTGACGTGCTGCTGGATGCTATTTCAAGACGAAGCCAGGACGAGGATGAATCGGGCGAGGACAGATCGGGAATCTCTGAGATCCAGCGGCTCGGAGGACGTGGCGCCGCGGACTTCTCAGAGCGTTCTGGAACGCCCTGAGAGCGTTCCAGAACGCTCTGGAGCGGACTTCTCCGCGTTCTGGCCCGGTCCGCTACTGGCCTTCTCGCCCTTTCGCTTCCGACTGGCTTCTGATGCATCAAGCTGGCTCCAAGATCGCCTGGGAGAGCCCAACGAGGGGCACGGAAGGCCTCCAAGAGAAGAGCGTCTCCGACTGGGGCAGGGGGGGCTGACTCAAACCTTTCCATTCTTGATCGATGTCATCCAAGCTGGACTCAAAAGGGTGTCGAGGCCCACAAGGTGACTTCAAAGCGCGCCCAAGAAATCCAAAGACGCACCTGGTTCTAGACCGGTCAACGACGTAGAAGTTGCGACGGGCTTACGAGAATCAATCTAGTTCCAAGAATGCAGAGGAAAACACAAAGAGGTGCCAGAAGGGCTCCACGACGACCCTGAATACCGCCAAGAGCGCCCCTGGAGCGTCCGAAAAAAGCTACAAGACGCGAGTTCTCGGTCTGCAGGGTCCCAAGGGGCCCCCAGAGCCGTAATCGAGAACCCATTGCGTCATTATCATCATTACTGAATGTTCGTAGTGCTGTTGTTCCCCACATCCTGAGTGGGGTTCTTGTTTTCTCTAGGCCACCCCCGCAGGAACATCTCAACCACCGCTCCTCTCCTCTGCTTCATCACCATCATCATACTCATCATCAGCATACTCGTCATCATCATCATCATCAGCATCATCAGCAGCATCATCACCACCACCATCAGCATCTGCATATTCATCATGGTCACCACCACCATCAACACCACTACCATCACCATCACCATCGTCACCATCACCATTAACATCATCATCAGCACCATCTTCAGCATCATCATTTTCACCAGCACCATACCATCGTCATCATCAACATAATCATCATCATTATTATCATCATCATCATCATCATCATCATCAGCATTATCATCATCGTTCTCGCGCACGCCCACACACACACACACACACACACACGCACTCAAACAATCACGCACACATGCACCGATA